CATTTCCTGCTGTGTTTCTGATGTAGTGATTGAAATGACGTTGGCCAGGTGCCTCCATCGAGTATGAGTTCCCTGACTGGGTCTGTTGACCTGGTCCAATCAGGGAGCACTGGCTGACAGACATAAACAAGAGTCTCAGGGATTCTCCTCACTCTAGGGACTGGCTTGGAACTCATTGGTAAGTAATGGGTGACTTGGTGACAGTGTCCTCACATCAGTGCAGTTATTTCACAATGTAACTATATTTCAAAAGCACTTAAGTAGCTGCAAAGCACTTTGGAACACCTGAGGTTAGTGAAAGGCGTTATATAAATGCAATTCTTTTTTCCCCACAAGCATGGCGTTTTGTTTCCGAAACTTAGATACTTCTTCATTGTGGGAGAAAAGCACATGGATTTAAAGGAAGAACTTCGCTTATGTTTAATTCCAGTCATTCTGGACTTTTATTTAACATTTGAAGAAAACTCCATATTGGCTTTGATTTCCTCCCGGAGAAGAATTTGTTAGAAATGATGAACGCACAATTAAGACTTTTTCTGCTCCGAGAAACTGTAGACTGTTCTGCAGTCTGGGAAGTAATTTAATTTTCATCTTGCCTCGCATTTGCAATTGTATTGATTTTACTCTTAACTAAATGTAAATTTGAGTAATTTAGGAACATTGTACCCATTTTAGCAAAAAAACAATAATTGAATCAGAGCAGATTTTCCTCATTTAGCCTGACCATAATGACACTATTATATTTAAAAAGCTAATCTCCATTTCCTACTCTCTTTTGACTATTTTCCTTGCAGGGGCACTGATCCTGCACAATTTTGGTCAGCAATTTTGATGTGTTGCTGTCAGTGTATGTTACTGTACTATTTTATGTCAGTCACCAGCTTTGTAGGTTCAGTGGGTTCAGTTCCCTCTACCAGCTGAAGTTCACCATGAAAGTCTCATCTTCGTACCCTTTCCCCTTGCCTGAGGCATGGTGACCCTCGGTTTAAACTCATCGCTAGTCAACTCCCTCTCATTAGAGAGCAGCTGTATGGTCCTCTGGGACTAGAACAACTTTTTACTGTGGTATTCACTTCCTTAGATTATTTTTAATTCATTCACGAAACGGGGATATGTAGTCGACATTCATTTCCCATCCCCAATTGTCCAGAGGCTGTAGAATCATAGAATCCCTCCTGTATGGAAGCAGGCCATTTGGCCCATCGAGTCCACCACCAATCCTCCGAAGAGCATCCCACCCAGACCTACCCCCCCATTCCTGTAACCCTGCATTCCCCATGAATGATCCCCCCTCATCTGCACATCTTTGGACTGTGGGAGGAAACCAGAGCACCCAGAGGAAACCCACACAGACACGGGGAGAATGTGCACACTCCCCACAGACAGTCGCCCGAGATTGGAATCGAACCTGGGTTCCTGGCGCAGTGAGGCACAGTGCTAACCACTGAACCACCGTGCCTCCCATGGCTCAGTTAAGAGTCAACCACATTTGTGTGGGTCTGGAGTCACATGTTGGCCAGACCAGCTGAAGATGGCAGTTTCCTTCCCTAAAGGACATTAGTGAACCAGATGGGTTTTTCCAACAATTGGCAATTGTTCCCATTATTTTTAATTCCAGAATTTTATTGGATTCAAATTCCACCTTCTGCTGTGGTGGGATTCGATCCCAGGTGCCCAGAACATTGCCCAGGTCCTCTGGTTTAACTGTCCAGCAATAATACTACTGGGCCGTCGGCTCCCATCGAGCTGCCAACTGATCAAGGATATGGCCAGGATTGGAGGACTTGACCTACAAGGAGAGACTGAATAGGCTGGGGCTATTTTCCCTGGAGTATTGGAGGCTGAGTGGTAACCTTTTATAGAGGTTTATAAAATCATGATAGGCATGGATAGGGTGACTAGCCAAGGTCTTTTTCCCAGGGTAGGGGAGTCCAGAACTAGAGGGCACAGGTTTAAGGTGAAAGGAAAAAGATTTAAGAGGGACCTAAGGGTCAGCTTTTTCATGCAGAGGGTGGAGCATGTATTCAATGACTAGGATATCTGGTCGGCATGGATGAATTGGACCAAAGGGTCTGTTTCCTTGCTATACAGCTCTATCATTCCACTTTCAAGGAACTGTGAACCTGCACTGCAAGGTCTCTTTGTTCAGCAACATTCCCCAGACCCCTATCATTAAGTGTATAAATCCTACTCTGATTTGCCTTTCCAAAATACTCCTGCTCCTATCCTCTGTTTTCTAACAAAAAATCAGCCATAAAGACTTCACACTCCTCCCCCACAGATAGGTTACCTGTGAAACATGTTTGGCCCCCTTACCTCACCCACGCTGCAGCAGAGAGATTATTAAAAGAGAGTTTAATTCTTTACTGGCTATGATGGCTGGTCAACTGAACAACATGTCTTCAGGAGTGGCAGCAAAATTTCTGTGCGACAAGTTTAATTGTGTAACAGCCAAAATCTTATTGACCATTTCCGGATTTCTCTAAATTTCCAAGCAGCTGCTCACTGGGGTAGGGAAGTGACATTTAAAAAAAAAAATTAATTACTGTAACGTAGAAGGAGGGAAGGGAGGAGAAAAACATAATTGCTCAAAGCGGTTAACCTAAAATGAGATATCAAGACCAGAGGCGAAATGTAATTACTAACAGGCAACGTGAAACAGATGTGCAAGAAATTTGAGGGGCATTTTTGATCAAAGTTGTTTTGAAGTTGTAGAATCCTCACAGTGCAGAAAGAAGCCATTCGGCCATTGAGTCTGCTCCGACCCTCTGAGACACATCCCACCCAGACACCCACTCTATGTAATAGGTGTGGTTTTCATTCAAAAGAAACAGAGAATCGTAGAGATCCCACAGTGCAGCAAGAGGCCATTTGGCCTGCACTGACCCTCCATAGAGCATTCCAACCAACCCCTCCACCCCCCCCAATGCCTGTAACCACCCCCCCACCCGCCATTGTTAATGCACCTAGTCTGCACATCTCAGGATACTATGAGGCAATTTCCCACGGCCAATCCACCTAACCTGCTCATCTTTGGACTGTGGGAGGAAACCCACGCAGACACGGAGAACATGTAAACTCTACACAGACAGTATCCCGAGGGTGGAATCAAACCCAGGTCCCTGGCACAGGGAGGTAGCTGTGCTAACCACTGAGCCACCATCCTGGCCACAGGTGAGCCTGCAAAATGGCTAAATCAGACAAAATACCTCCTGGACCAACCCCTTCCCTGCTTCATTGTTGTTTTGGGCTTTTTAAAGTTTGAACATCTGATCTACTGACCCCTAATATTGGACGCTTAAAAATGTTTGGTCATGGTGTCACTACTTGCCTCCCTTCCATTTACTCAATTTCAATCAAACTTCATCGATATTCCTTTATTAATTCACCTTCCAAACTACAGCTTCTGGATGGAAGGTGATTTCAGCACATCCAAGAGAGCTTGAAGTCTTATACCTCACCTCAATCCTAGCCCAATTCAACTCCTCCGGATCCCAGATTCCAATTACATCCCCAATCCCCGATTCTAAATCCATTAAGTGCGTCAAGCAAAATGCATTCATAGATGTGACTAGGGGTAGCCTGGTGGCCCATGGATTAGCCATGGGAAATGCAGAGTTACAGGGATGCAGTGGGGTTGAATGTTCTTCAGAGGGTCAGTGTGGACTTGATGGGCTGAATGGTTTCTATCCGCATTTTTAGGGATTCTCTGATTCTATGTGTCTGCCAATCCTCGATTGGGTGACCTGGCAGTCTGGGGGTTGGGTTGGGTGAGTGGTTGGTGAGGACACAGTTCGGAGAGGGTCACTGCACGCCTGTAGGTCAAGAGTAACAGGTGTGACCTGGGTCCCCAAACGTACCGCCCATTAGACCTCTTCCCTTCCCTGATTCATGATCACACCAGTTTCCCCACTTAACCTTGGAAGCTGGTTGCAGGCCTGTAATTTTGAGAAGCCTTTGAAAATCCCTGACTTCATGCTCAGAAAAAGTGTGTTAAGAGCGCAATTGCTTCACTGTATGGCTTTGGATAGTTTTTAAACGAGGTTGTTGACCTGCTCGTCGAGCTGGCTTGTTTTTGTTCAGACATCGCCATGTGAGGTAACATCATCAGTGGAGCCTCCGATGAAGCGATGTTGTTCTACTCCACTTGGAATTTATACTGTCCGGTCCTTTATGGTGAGTACTGGCAATTCTGATTTTTGATCCGTATGGGTTTATATATGGGGTCCAAGTCTATGTTTGTTGATTGAAGTACAGGTGGAGAACCATGCCTCTAGGAATTCCCGTGTGTGTCTATGTTTGGCTGTGGTTCTCCACCTGTACTTCAATCAAGAAACGTAGAATTGGACCCCATATATAAACCCATACAGAACAAAACCAGAAATGACAGTACTCACTATAACGGACCAGACAATATAAATTTCAAGTGGAGTAGAATAACATCGCTTCATCAGAGGCCTCACTGATGCTGTTACCTAGCATGGTGACGAAATGTCTGAGCAAAAACAAGCCAGCTCGGTGAGCAAGTCAACAACGTCACCCACGACCCGAGCTACAGATCTTTGCCAAAACTTTAAAGTTTTTGAACTTCCTGTAACCCAAAGTATGATTTCTTAAGTAGTAGGTTCACAGATTTAAGATGTTTCTTGACTTGCCATGTTGGCAACAAAATGGGAGCAGAAAGAACCCCTGTTTATGTATTACACTCATTGTCATGTAATTTGCAATATTCTGAGCCAACCAGTTAATGATCTTTGAAGTCTTATCACTTTGGCAATCCTGTGAATTCAATCCCTACATTTTCCCTGTCCATGTTTTGCTTTCGATTGGTAACCCTTTTGAGGTGACTCCAGATATAACTTAATGATTGTGCAAATCATAAGGATAATCTTCACGTCTCGCCGAGTGTCGTTGTTGTGCATTCTGATTGGATGACTGTCATGTCTAAGGTTTTGCATCTAGATTTTCTGATTGGTCGACCCAAATGTTTTCCTCCCTAGATACAGCCTTCTGATTGGATGGCAAATGACCAATCAGAATCGGGGAAAAAAATTTCTCACCGAACAGGCAGTGTGCCAGGAACCCACATCCCTGGCACTATTAAACAGGTAAGGTCCTATTTCATTCAACGTCCAGTAGCTTTAGTTTCGGCTTGTAGTCAATCAGAACAGCACCGTCGCATTGCTACTGGGAGAGTAATCCAGCGTTCTGATACCTTGAGTTTGAATCCCAACAACCAGGGAGCTTAGGTTCACTTGATTAAAATACATTTGAAAATTGGTCACGATGACTGCAGGACTATGGTAAAGCCCAACTCTAGTTCATTAAAACTCAGAGCGTACTGGAGAAACTCAGCAGCTCTGGCAGCATCTGTGGGCAGAGAAACAGTGTTAGCGTTTCAAGTCCAGTGACTCCTCTTCAGAACTGAGTAAGATATATGAATAGTCCTTGGTTTTAACTGTGCTTCTTCTGTTTCTCTGATCTTATTTGAAGCCTCCACAATGTCAGCTGGTCACCTTCCTCCCCCTTCACCCCGTCAGCCGCCATCCTATCCTCTGCCAATCCTGCTCCGTTTAAGTCTCTCGCCGCTGTGTTTTTCCAACTGGTCTTTGGCTTTTCCCTTCATCCTGGCAGTCCTATCTCCATCACTGGCAATGCCACATTTGTCCCTCTCTCGCTTTCTCCAAACAACAACCATATCATTTCAGTCTCTCCTCAGCTACCTCCTTCGATACCCTCCCACCATAATTTTCATTGACACCCCCTCCACGATGTACCAACGTCGATCCAATCCCAATGGATTTAACAGTCCACCATTTTACTATGATTGATAGTGGTAATAGCTGCAGGAGATTTTCTTGCCCTGCCTCCTATTGAGAATCGAATGCTTATCTTCCCTTCTCGTCTTAAAGACTTGAGGCGGGCAGCATGGTGGCTCAGTGGTTAGCACTGCTGCCTCACAGCGCCAGGGACCCGGGTTTGATTCCAGCCTCAGGCGACTGTCTATGTGGAGTTTGCACATTCTCCCTGTGTCTGCGTGGGTTTCCTCCGGGTGCTCCGGTTTCCTCCCACAGTGCAAAGATGTGCAGGTTAGGTGGATTGGCCATGATGAATTGCCCATAGTGTTCAGGGATGTGTAGATTAGGTGGGTTATAGCAGGGTGGGTCTAGATGGGTTGCTCTGAGACTGGGTGTGGACTTGTTGGGCCGAAGGGCCTGTTTCCACACTGTAGGGATTCTAAGATAAACCTCTTCCAAGGGTCCTTGTCAGGTAGAAGTGCTAACCACTGAGCCACCAAGCCACCCCGTCCCCATAGAGGCAAGTATTTCATTTGTCTTCATAACCACTTGATCCACTTGTCCTGATACCTTAAGGGATCAGTGTGCGTGCCCACCAAGGTCCCACTGGTTATCATGTATTCCCTTGCCTTATTTGTCCTGATCTAACTGAAGTGAGCAAGATCCCGAATAGCCTTGACAAGGTAAATGTGAAAAGGATGTTTATTTTCGTGGGTCAGTCCAGAACTAGGGGATGCTGTTTGAAATTCGGGCTTGCCCTTTAAGAATTGAGATGGAGAGAATTTATTTTTTCTCTCACAGGCAGTTTGTACAACTTTGGGAATCTCTGCCTCAGAAGATTGTTAAATATGTTTTGGACCAGAGATTGAGAGTTTCCTGTTTGGCAAGGGAATCAAAGATTACCGGGAGTAGATGGGAATATGGAATTTGAAACACAAACAGTTTAGTCTTCATCTTATTAAATAGCGTGCAGGATCAAGGGCCTGAATGGTCCAGTAAACTCTTATTTTGTGTGTTTGTATGATTCTCAACTGCCCTCAGAAATGGTGAAGGAAGCCCCTCACTCAGGGGCAATTAGGGAGTAGCGAGAAATGCTGGCCCAGCCAATGATGCCCACATCCCATCGAAGAAGAAAAAAGGAAGTTGCATTCTCAGATTGCCTCGTGATAATAATTAAGTGTCATTGCCCTAATTATGGAACATAATAAGAAATGTGAACCATGTTAGCTCTGATTTTTGCATTCACCCACTTTGTGAAATTGTGACAAGTTTGAATTTGGAAGGACTCCATCTGGGAACGTGTTGGCATGCCATGAAGATTTGAATTGTCTCACACGCTACTGTTTTTGAAATGGGCAAAAATGCAGCCCACGCCCCGTTGATGATAATAATCAAAACACGCAGCAGAGAAATCAGATGGCCATATCATTCGGTAGTGTGCAGGAAATGGCTAACTAAACATTATCCAGGAAGTCTGTAAGAGTTTTGCACTGATAGGAAATGCTCAGCACAGCAAATTCCTGCATAATTACAGTCGTTCCATATGATGAAGGAACGAGAGCAAAGGATTGGGTGGCATGGTGTATCACTTGTGGGAACTCAGTTTCCTTTGTGACCTGCTCACTGTCTTATGTTTCAAACCAGCTGCTGAGGAACCAAAGCGAGATAAGTTTAGCCATCGGGAACTCAGGTTCCAGTCCATAACATGGAACAGCCCCCCACCCCCACCTTTCTTAATATCCATTCATCAAATCACGCCCTGAGGTCAATAGCATCCGCTAATTATAGAGGACAGTTCCAGAATTAGAGCAGTGACGCAGTGTTCGAGCTTGGTATTCACTTCAGCTCAATGCCAACTCTCCACTCATTCATTGAGAATCTTCATGGCCCAAGTCATCAGCCTTGATCGAGGCTGGGGCATCTAGCGTAGTCCCGAGGGAGTGCTGCACTGTCACTGTTGGAGTGCCATACGGATCGGGACTCTGCTGTCTTTCCGTTCATGGTCTGGCTTCACCCACAGGAATGGGGAGAGAAACCACACACACACACACAGACACACACACACACACACACACACACAGACATACACACACACGCTCACACACATACACACACACACACACACGCTCACACACACACACACACTCACACACATACACACACACGCTCACAC